TGGACGATAGGTGGGCTCGAGACCACTAACCTACCTAGCCAAGTTTAGTGGTGGCCCACCAACTTGAAGCTTGTGGGTCAAGGAAAGTCATCTTCGGCGCAATAGCTAGCAAAGGACCACTGTGGGAGGCTTTAAGTCAATGAACTGTTCTCATACAAGTTCTCAGGGGATAACGTTATTGAAGACCCTAGGGCCACTATCAGCAAGTCATCCGTTGGATCCCACCATGCCGGTCTACGTTAGTTTACGTGCAAATTGGTTCCATGTAGATGGGACTTGACGTCCTCGAGCTTCGACATTTCTATGATCGAGGGAGTTTTATCGTGTGGACTTGGATTTAGCAACATCTTCGGATTTGCAGCCATTCACACATCGTGAAACAACGGTGAAGGGAGCTCTTTCTGGCATTATCACCCACAAGGACAGGCCCGTGAGTACTTCCAAACAAGTTAATTTACAGACGAGAAGAGACGTGTACAGTTTTGCAGGGATCCTTGTTGAACTCTTAACGGGACAGAACCCAATCCCTTTGCTGAGGGAGGACGAAGGAAGAAACCTTGTAGACTAGTCAACAAATCGGGGGATCTTGCTGTTTTGACTATTCAACAAGATGGAATGTTCTTTCCAGTTCATGTATCAAGAAAATGTTAAAGCTTATTGTGAGGAATACATTATTAGAGTTGCATGCACTTGCACTCCTGGGAACAAGCGTCCTGCTTGTGTCAACCTTTGGCCAGTTCGATGCGTCGGTTAGTTTTCAATGTCGAAAAGAGCTGCGATCTAATTTCAGTTTCAAAAACATGATCGAGTCAACTTTATTAAAGTCATTAAGCTTCAACATATCTCAAATTATGAACAGGTGCATGATCGAAAGATACATCTAAGAGTACAGCATGTGAAAAATTCTTCCCTTCTTCCACTTAAATAACAGTATTACGGGACTCGGCCCCTATCCCCTTTCTACATAAATCAAGGTCCGTGTACATATGAAACGCGAAAATCATATCGAACTCGGTGTTTCAAATTCTCTTCCTATGTATGAAGTTAGACCAACGAAAAAAAAAATCCCAGATACCAACGCTGACTAGATTTTCACATGCGATACCCCATTGATAATGTCCTTATTCTGGGGAAGACTACTCATGATCACAATGCACTACTTTTTGTGACTGAACATTTTTTGGATTTTGGTCTTAAAATTCTTTGGACCTAATTGTTTTTTTTTTTTGAAAAAAATCAGCTATATAGTCTCTCTCCCCTCGTCGGTACAATAAATAGTTTCTTATATATATTTTTACTGAAAATAAGAAATAAAACAGTGCCAAGAGTTCAGCATACTTCTTACAGCATGATCCAGAGCAATAGCAAATTAGCAAGACTAGTTTAAAGCAATAATCATATTTAGTCATCTTCAATACAAGTGCATGGGGCGCAATCTCTTTCAATGGGGAAGCAAAAGACTTCCCACATGATTCACGTACATCTTTTTACCTGTTTTGGGGGCCCAAAAGAAAAAATTCCCGAGTGCTTTTATTGATTGCTTGAGCATGAAAAGCATTGGACTAAGAACAATAAAAATTACTCCTGCTTCAATAATAGGAGAAGACCGTGACACACGCACATCGCATGAACAAGTTATAAAGGAAACCACTTTTGCTTTAGGAAAAGTGACTTTTGCTTTCTCCTTTGTAGATTGAAAAGATGCCAAAGCCCATTTCTTTCGTCAAGAGAAAATGTCTTGGCCGTCTTAGTATAAATGTGTTGGAAGATTTTGCCATTTTAAAAGAGATTCTTGTTGTGGAAAATGGTTTTCTTTTTCGAAAAGGAGAAAAGAAAAAACAAGTGGGAATACAAGAGCAGGGTCACCAAAAGTTGGTCCACTCATGATAATCGTCTCAATTTTGCGTTTGTGCTGGCAGATTAGAAACTATTAGACGGATATAACTCCGTTTTCAAGGGTTAAAAGCTATCGAATTCAATCTTTCTTTGTCACTCGGTCCTAACGTGCTTAACGGGATCCATGACAAAAGGTCATCCATCTTGATAACTCTCCAAATCTTTCTCATGAGAAAGACGAGGACAAAGTTATGGCCCTAACAATGGGAGAAGTCACACTCAGCTGCTGCTTTAATTGGTGTCGTCTACCTTTCAAGCGTTGATATTACTATCCTCAAGGAAGCACCCTCAGAGATACTAGGACGTGACAGAGCTGTAATAAGACAATGCCTTCAATACAAGAATATCTATCCCTTCTTCCACGTAAATAACACTACTTAGGGTCTCGGTCAATATCCTCCTTTCTCCATAGTTTCACGTCCATGCAGATACGAGACATGAAAATCATGTCGAGCTCGGTGTTTCAAATTCTTTTGCTTCCGGTTTCCCCCACGGAACAAGCATCCGGAGCTGCACCGGGACTTGCAAGGTGTAACCGTGTGGAACTATGCGGGAACGTCGCCATTCTCTTCCTGTCCAGAATAGGCATTTTCAAAAACTGAAATCCTTCCCATCAAACTTGTTGATTTTCACATTTCCTTCTTCCGTCGCCATCAATCTACTTCAAGTCAGCCTAACCTATCTTTTATACCAATTATTGTGAAACCAAGCAATCGAAAAGTTTAATAGATAGAACAAGAAAATTAATTGGACACCATATTTAAGTGGTTTGGTCGGTGTCACCGACTCCATTGGAGAGTAACATAGGGTTCCAAGATAGACCATGGGGATAAAATAGAGATTACAATCACAATCGAGTTACAATGTTCTAAATGTTTCCCATCTCCAGTTATGCCAATAACTTAGAGTATATAGCCCATTCAATTTTTCACAAAACAATCTTTATCAATCTTGCGAAAAAAAAAAGACAAATTCTTAGGAGAAGACTTTGTCACGATTCCAAAATGCTTGCAGTTTCTTTGAGATAGAATTCATGAGAGCGCCACACAATTGATTGTTACGGCCAAAAGCTCCCTGTGTGCTCGCTAATGGGCATAAATCAACATAATCCACCAATTAAGTTCTAAGACTTACCAAATTAGTGCAATGAATTCTCTCTCTATTAACTCTTCCAATTTAGCTACTAAAACATTCTGATGTGGCATTTTATTATTACGGCCAAACGCTCCGCCCGTGTGGCGTTCACCAAGCACTACACATCAAAAAAAGAACTTGAAAATTTAGTGAGAAAGAAAATGCTAACGTGACCTTTTTTTTAAATTATATTTACTGATGCGTTGCTATTGTATGTAAAGTTACTTGTCCGGTATGAAACCAGTATATTGCTTCGGTTTCACTGTCCTGTCATGGGCAGCTAGAGAATAATACAGTGGGACACACACCGAGGACACGCACAGATATTTCCGAAATTCCCCCATTTCTCGGCACCTTACTAGCCCTGTCCTAATGTGACTCCAGAACAAAGAACGACTCTTCAAAGTCCTTTAATCTGAAAATAATCTGAAAATGAGACTGATAGCCTTTCTCAAAGGAGACATTTCAACGGGGAACAAAAGAACATATCTCCGAGTCTCATCATTTTATTATCTTGTGATTATCTGATGAGTTTCTTTATCAAATTCAGCCGTGAGATTGAAAAATGACATTCGCCATTGCCATCAAAGCAAACCCGATCGAGACATCATTCTCGCTTGGCCGCCAAAATAGATGACAACTTCAGTGGAGAATTTTCTACTCCAGGAAGGATCTGAAGCTTTGACAATTCTGCTCAAAGAAGTATCCTCGGACATGCTAGGGTCCTCGACTACAGGCAAAAGTGGCGTATAAGTAACTGTGCCCTCCGTTCATTCCTCGAACAGGTCCACGATTTCCGGACAAAAGAAGCAGGAGCAAGAATGTTTCTGATTCTTCTGCTTCTAGTATCACTTTTGCTTGAGAAGCAAGCATCGCTAGCAGTTCCCCTGGTGAAGGGTAATTGCCCCCAAACATGTGATGGCGTTGCCATTCCCTTCCCCTTCGGGATTGGAACCGAGTGTTTCCTCAGTGAGTGGTACGAGATTGCCAGCCAGGACAGCAGTGACGGCACCACCCCCATACTGAACAAGACCAACTTGAGGGTGCTCAACATTTCGCTACCCGATTTCCAAGGTGGAACGAATGGCATGATCAGCGTCAGTCTTCCTATAATCTTCTCATCGAATGTGAGCTGTGGGGGCAATAGAAGCTTTGCGCCTGTGAGCTTGAAAGGAAGCCAGTTCATCTTCTCTGAGTCGAGCAGCAACATATGTGCTCTATTGGATGACACAACGTCTGCTATCATAGGGTGCCAGTCCAAATGCAAAAAACAACACATCTTTAGTAAAATGAATTGTTCAGGCCGCGATGGATGCCGCCACACCACAATTACCTCGGATCTTCAGGCTTTCAACGTCACTTTCCGGGTGGACAAGAAACCAGCAGAGAATAAATGCGAGCATGCCTTCTTGGGAGATAGGTTGCAGTTCGCACCTTCAACTACGGACTTCGATAAGTTGATGGCGAGTCGGCATTTCCCAGCGGTACTAGAATGGGGGATAGCTAATTCCTCCCAAGCTGCGCTAGAAATTTACAGATTTGGCTTCATCTCCGACGATTCCTATAACTGTAGCACAGTCAGCTTCAATTTACGATATGTCACGCCCCAAACCCCAACGAGCTGGCGACATCCCTCTCTTCGGTCGAATTAGTGCGACGTCCCAGGAAACGTCGCCAACCCAAATGATCCCATCGAAGTTAATCGCGGCGGAAGCAAACATATAATCCCGGACAATAAAATCATGGGGTAGCAGGGAGGAATAAATTGTCAAACCACCAAACATAACACTATATCTCGATATGTACAATATCCATTTACAAAACAAACTTATACCACAACCGCCTTTTACAATCCACATAGCCAAAAAGCACATCGAACTACTAAATTGCAATCCACCGAGATCAGCAACCTACTAGGTATCCGATCTCCCAAAAATGATACATGTCAAAATGTATACTCTACCCCCAATCTAGCCCCTACGCCCTTTGGATGGCGTCCACTCTGATTCACTCTCCTCATCATCCTCATCTGAAACCTCATCAGGCACGTGCTCATCTGACGACCCCGAATCAGCCTCAATCTCGATTGGGTTATCCTCATCTCCCAACTCTACCTGAACTTCAATCCTTTCCTCGCCAATAGACTCCTCTTCGGGATCCTCCTCTGGCTCCTCTACTGGCTCATCCTCCGGCGCCTCCTCAGGCTCACCCTCGAGCTCGTCCTCTCCGGGTTCTTCCTCAGGTATTACCTCTAGATCCACATCCATTGGATCATATCTTGCCTGTGATTCTTCTGGCTCTGGATCTGGTTCCGCTACTGTCGGCTCTGGTGTCGCAGGGACGTGCTGGTGCCCTGACTGAGCAAGACTAGTTTCCAAATTAGTCATCTCACCGTCGGGAGGGGGTATGGCCGACGGATCCCAATCTCCAACTCCATCAAAGGACACATCAAATCCTCGGATGGGGCCAAATTCGTCCATCCCATCCCAAAACATCCAGGCAGTATACGTATGAGCCTGCCATAGAGGAAGTCCTATATCTATCCATACTACTGAAGTGTGCTTAACCCAGGTCATATTCTCGTATACAGGGTATTCTACAACGTCATGGTCGGTATGCATAGGAATCCCAAAACACTGCGGCGGGAGCGGCGGAAGGTTCATGGCTCAGGCGGGGGCTCTGAAAATTGTTGGTTGAAACAACCATGAGATCACATCTCAGCAAGCACACACCCTAAACCCACCCTAGACTAACACATATCTCCAGATAATCAAACACACTAACACGCATCGATTACATATCAAGCACACCATTTGCACTTACCTGGCATTAATACACGTCATCTGCAGGTTAGTCTCAATCATAAGATTTCCAATCACATGTGTATTTCAAATACGTTTCATACTCAAAACACCCACATAGAACACATAACACCTCATTTCCACATTTCGCTCGATTGTGCCCATCTCATCACACTATCCCGCTCGACTCACCAGTGACCCGCGTAATGGTATCGCCTCAAGTTCACTGCGATCATCTCATATCCACAACACTTCTAGCCCGCGTAATGGTACCGCCTCAGGCTATGTATCTTGCCCGCGTGATGGTACCGCCTCAGGCTCAACATCCGTCACCTAGTGCACAACCCGCGTAATGGTACCGCCTCAGGTTGGCCATATTTACAACACTTCTCGGCCCGCGTAATGGTACCGCCTCAGGCCATGTATCTTGCCCGCGTAATGGTACCGCCTCAGGATCAATACCTATCACCTACTGTACAACCCGCGTAATGGTACCGCCTCAGGTTGATAGTCTTCCGATAATACCGGGCATCGTCCCGCGTAATAGTACCACCTCAGGACGGCACAATTCCCCGCGTAATAGTACCGCCTCAGGGATTCTTGTAACCTCATGCTCGACGTTTCACATTCTTTCTCGTTCATTCACCCGCACACTTTACACACCAACAAGCCCAATTACTAGCCGATTACACTCGGCCCATGAACGCATCAATCTCACGCATTTCACATGCTTAACTTAACCCAAACATTTCCAAATGACGATCCATTCAATTCAGCCCATGCGTGCACACAACAACTTGCATTTCAATCAAATAATTCACACACCAACGAGCATTCAAGGCCACCAATGGGCCCACAATCACAGCCACATACACAGCCACAAATTCAACATTTCCAAGTTCATTTCCAGCCCTAATTACCACCACAATTCAGCCACAACACGGCCCGCCAACCCGACACCATTTAGTCCTCAAATCAAGTCATATGCTCATCATTACGAGTCCCAATTTGCAGCATTCAATTCAGCATCAAATCAGCCCCAACACATCACTATTTCACCCACAATTCAGCCTACTCGAATTCTCAATTCAGTCTATTAATATAACCCCTAAACAGCCCCAAATAACCCCTAAACCGACACTAATTAACCCGATTTAACCTCTAATCGCGTCTATCGATACCCGACATCCTAAATAGGGTTTAGAGGGCGACTTACACGAACTCTAGGCTAGCTCGGCTAGAATGGAATGGGGTGGCAAGCCGGTGGCCTCACAATGGCGTGCGACGGCGGCAAACGGCTCGACGGCGAGTGGCGGTGGCTGGCGGCTGCTGAACGGAACAGGACAGGACGAGGGTGATGGTGACTCGGTGAGGCAGAACAGGGGAGAGAGAATCGGTGGGGTGGGTGGCTGGGCTAGGTGAACGGCTGTTCCGGCATACAGCAGCTCCGGCGTGCGGCCAATCCAGCTGGACGGGCGGGCGGCGGCGATGGCCGGCCTAGGCGGCTGGGCTGGTGACCGGTGGGAGGCTGAGGGAGTTCGGTCGGGAGGGAGAGAGGGAGAGTGAACCGAGAGAGGTGAGAGAGTGAGGAGAGAGAGAGAGAGAGAGAGATTTGGACTAAATAGTCCAAAGCCAATAATTGAGGTGCCAAAAGACCATCATGCCTCTATCTCACAATCCAAATCAACGGCCTAGATTCGATCTTATCTTGAGATCAACGGTCCGGATTGAATCTTTTCCAAAATATCCAAGGGCAATTTGGGGATTTCTAAAAAAGTCTAAGGTTAAAATTGTCCAAAAATTTATATTTCTAAGGCTAGGGCGAAATGACCAAAATGCCCTTCCCCATTTACATTGGCCTTAACAAACTTCCAAGGGTAGAATGGTCATTTTTCATTTCTCGCCAAAATTTAATTTTTCTGAAGGATTCGAGCAAATCGGAAGCTGATTACGCCAATAACAACGTCGTCCAAATTGTCCTGTCGTGACTTCCTAATTTCCAATGCCCAAATTGGTTTCTAATTAATAACTGGATTTTATATAACGTAACTTGAGCATGTCTCAAACTAACGTGCGGCTTCTAGGGAAATTCGCATATTCGACCCATGACTGATACTAAATCAAGTCACGTGCAAGTTCATTCGGATCGTAACGACCTCGGTTGTCATGTAATCGTGAGGGTCAATCGCTAGTTCCGTCGGGCACGACCATTCGGTATAAGTTCTGGATCGTTCGCCACCTCTCCTTGTGGTCATACGGAATCACTCGTGATCCACTCGTATGACAGTGACGAATCGGCCCATGACTATCCTAAGATCGGCCTACATTGGCTCAAAATGTCACCTCAACAATTCTATGGTCGAAAGTCGGTTCACGATTGAATTTCTCTAGTCGTACAAATTTAAATCCCTAATTAGCCTTTCCCTAATGTTTAGTATCCCAGGAATGATCAGTTCCGGGCGAGAACTAACTACAAATACGTTCATAAAACCATTCATTTCATAAATCCCAAATGGGCAAATTTCGGAATGTTACAACTCTCCCCCCTTACAAAAATTTCGTCCTCGAAATTTACAACTCAACCTACTACTCAAAATAATTGGGGGTGTTGACGTTGCATTAGCTCCTCACTTTCCCATGTCGCACCTTCTGTCCCGTGATGTTCCCGCACGACCTTGACCATCGGGATCATCTTGTTCCTTAGAACTCTTTCTTTCCGATCTTCGATCCTTATTGGTCTTTCGATGTGCGACACCTTATCGTTAACTTCTATTTCCTCATAATTCAACACGTAAGTTGGGTCCGGTTCATATTTTCTCAGCATCGATACGTGGAACACATTATGCACCTGCAATAGATTTGACAGTAATGCAAGGCGATACGCTAATTCTCCAATCCTTTCCAACACCTTAAAGGGTCCCACGTACCTCGGACTCAACTTTCCTTTCTTACCAAATCGGGACAATCCTCTCGTGGGCGATACTTTAAGGAATACGTGATCCCCTGCTTGGAATTCCAAAGGTCTTCGCCTTCTATCTGCATAGCTCTTTTGACGGCTTTGCGCTGTCTTCAGCCTTTCGTGTATAATCTTAACTGCCTCCATCGACTGTTGAACTAATTCGGGCCCGGTTATACTTCTTTCTCCCACTTCGTCCCAACACACAGGCGTTCTACATGCTCTACCATACAACGCTTCAAACGGCGCTATCCCGATACTCTGCTGAAAACTATTGTTATACGCGAATTCTGCCAAGGGCAATTGCTCTTCTCACTTGCCTTGAAAATCCAATACGCATGCCCGAAGCATATCTTCTAAAGTCTGAATTGTCCTCTCAGACTGGCCATCCGTTTGCAGATGATAGGCTGTACTAAATTGTAACTTTGACCCTAATGCCGTCTGCAGACTTTTTCAAAAATTGGCGGTAAACCTGGGATCACGATCTGATGTAATGGTCACTGGTACCCCATGCAAACGAACGATCTGTTGCACATACAAATCAGCATACCTATCCAAGGCAAAGTCCTTTCGCACGACCAAAAAGTGCGTTGATTTCGCCAATCGATCAACAATAACCCAAATAGAATCATGGCCCTTTTGGCTCCTTGGTAATCCCATTACAAAATCCATAGTTATATGTTCTCATTTCCATTCTGGGATTTCCAAGGGTCGAAACAATCCTCCGGGCTTACAATGTTGCGCTTTCACTTGTTAGCACGTCAGACATTTAGCCACATGCCTGGCTGTGTCTACCTTCATGCCATTCCACCAATAGTACTGTCTTAAATTTTGATACGTTTTTGTACTACCGGGGTGGATGCTATAATTACTATAATACGCTTCCGATAAAATTTCCTCCTTAAGTTCCGCATCATCGGGCACACACAATCGTCCTCGGCACTTCAAGATCTGATCCCATCCTCGGATACTTGGAAATCCGGTTTTCTCTTAGTAGTATTCATCTCCAAAATCTTCTGAGTCTCTTGGTCCGTAGACTGTAGGGCCTTAATCTTTGATTGAATTTTCGGTTCAATCCTTAGCATGACTAACAGGCTCGAGACTTGACTTACTTCAAACTTAAATTCCGAGTCTCTTACCTTTTCCAACAAAGTCCACTCCTTGACCATCAAGTGCGCGATGCTTGACTTCCTACTCAATGCATTTGCTACCCAATTTGCCTTTCCGGGGTGATATAGAATATCACAGTCGTAATCCTTCAGCAATTCCATCCAACGACGCTACCTCATATTTAACTCCTTTTGAGAAAATAAATACTTGAGGCTCCGATGGTCAGTATAAATCTAAAATTGCTCTCCGCATAAATAATGTCGCCAAATCTTAAGGGCGAACAATATTGCGGCTAATTCCAAGTCATGCGTCAGATAATTCAACTCATGCGGTCTTAACTGTCTTGACGCATAGGCCACTACTCGTCCATTTTGTATGAGTGCACACCCCAATCCTTTCAACAACGCATCACTATAAATCTCGTATCCTCCGGGTCCAGATGGAATAGTCAACACTGGTGCCGTCGTCAATCTATGGTGCCGTCATCAATCTATGCTTTAATTCCTGAAAACTCCTTTCA